TAAGTGTCTTGTGTCAGACAGGTGAAAGGAGTATTAAAAGAATATTTGGGGCATGACACCATGGAAGGGAAAAGCTGCAGCCACCAAACTCAAGCAGAGATGACAAGTGCCTGGTGGTGATGCTGTTAATGCAGCCTTTTGGAAACAGCCAGAGCGCAAATCCTAATGAGAAAAATACAGGATTTATACTACTGGAAGCATCTCAAAGCACATTGTATCAACACACATTGTATCTCACACACATTGTATCAAAAGTAGTAGACAGGTTGTGTCAGTGGAGAAGGACAAATATGTACCAGAGAGGCCATCAAAAAAAACCCCACAAGCAAACATGAAGAACCTCCTCCCCTAAAGAGCTCAAATCCAGGACTCAAATCATTAGACGGACTCACAGAGTAGTTGAGGTTTGCAGGGATTTGTCTAGCCCCCTACTCCAAGCATGGGCAGCAAAACTTCCCAAGGGAATCCAGTTTGTTCCAATCCCTGTACTTCAATAAGATGAAAAATCATAGAATCACAGAATGGCCTAGGCTGGAAGGGACCTTAGAGATCATCTAGTCCAACCTCCCTGTCATGGGCAGGGATGCCTCTCAACTAGATCAGGCAACACATGGGGAGTTTTTTCCAAAACAATGGAACATTTAAGCATATATTTTATGATTGGATTTTAAACCAATTTCAATGAATTCCCAGGCACTGTGCTGAAGAACACAATCACCATTTTTTTGTTTCAGTACAGGTTTTTTCAGTACTGCCCAACAGCTTTCTGGCTAACAGCATCAGTACTGTAAGAGCACAGTAGTGCAAGGGACCAGGTACAGTAGTTTACAAATAACTCATAGATCACATTTGGGGAAGGGATTGTGTCTCCCCTGGTTTCTGTGAAGAATTTTCACTCTTGTACTCAAAATAATTGTAGTATCTTCTGTGGGATGGATGTTACGTGTTATTTTTAAAACGTGCAAAATTTGAGAGACCCTCAGAATTCAGAAAACAGAGCAACTGCTGTGTTGTCATTATCTTCTTAAAACAAACTCAAAGACCTGATGAAGATGCAAAATACAAGCAGTTCCGGTACTATGACAGAAGTCATGAAGAAACGGTTTGGAATCCTAGCATAGACCAGAATTACATTTAACACAGGAAGAATTTCATAAAGTCCATCTCTAGAGAAACAGGTAGAGAGGAACAGAACAGGCAGACAACCATGAGAGGCAGTGCATCAGGGAAGGAGAAACTGAGAACCGAGCTACAAGCACAGTGGAAAAACACAGAAATACTGGTTTTGCATACAAAGCCCTTGATCTGGTCCTCAAAAAAAAAGAGCTCAGCACACTCACAAAACCAGGATGGTGACCAGCAGTTACGAAAATTAAATTAAAGAAAAAAATAAACAGTGGCATGCAGGCACTACTGTAACAAAATGGGTTTACTTAAAATGATTTCAGACACAGAGCAAACTAGTCATCACCTGATTAGAATGCAGCATATGTTCCATTAGACAGAGCTACCCAACGTCTGTACGCTCAGCTGCACTGGGGATAATAGGCTCCCTTTTGCTATAGGCACTGTGTGTTCTTTTCGTTTTACTTCTAGTGGCAATTAACCTCCTTGTTATTAAGAAAATTGAGCTAAAAGTGGAAGACAAACACATTCATTTGCACCACTGAAGAAACAAGATCCTTTTACATTCGCTCATTTCTTCAAATGTGTTTTTACCTCTGAAGCTCATTTCAATACAGTAAAATAAATTAAGCCTTCCTTCTAAATTATCATTTCCCCAACTTCTTGGGCAGACACTCCAGGCAACTCTGAGAGACACTTTGCATGTGTGGGCTTCTCTTCTGCAACTCCGTTTCCTTGGAGGAGTTTGCACTCCCACTGTAGGTTGTGACCTCTAATTTGGGACCACCACCCTAAATCCTGCTACTGGAGATAAAAATCCGACAGCATATGCTCTCTAAAAAGCACAAGGTATTTTCCCTGACAAAAAATTTAAAAAAAACCCCAACAACCACAAACACTTAGGAGTATGAAGAACACAACACGCACAGGAAATCCAAAGTAGCGGATAAAAAAATTCACCCCAGTAAAAGCAAAGATCATCCAATTCAAACAATTAAGGAAAGTTTTTACCCTCAAACCTTCAAAAACTATCTTAATTTGTTTCTCAGGTGGTAAACCAGGAACAAATTCAAACAGCAGCCGAGATACTCAAGGCCTGCATGAGAGCAGTGCAGCAGCTGGAGCTTACCTGCTGCAGGGGTGATGGTGTAGAAAGAAAAATGAAGAGCAGTTTGTTTCACTGCGAGAGGTCAGTTTGTGCAGAGTTGGGAATGCCATGAACCACAGTGATCTTCACCCAGTTTGAAGGGAGAAGAGCCTGCCATATCCTAACAGGATTGTACTAGATGTTTTAGTTATGCAAGAGAATATAAAGTGGAATTTGCAGTTACCTGGCTTCTGCCGACATCTCTGAACTCTGAAGAGCACAAGCAGCAGCGTATCTGTGGTTCAGCCCGTGCTCAGCTGACCTCATCTTCTGACTGCACTCAGAGCCACAGACAGAACTGCATGTTACTTACTTGTTCTCGCAAAGGCTTTTTTTTCTATTTTTCTCCCAACCTGAGTTTACAACCAAGTTCCTGGGCTGTATCATACGTGTCCTACCAGCGTTTTGCACGTGGGATGTGCTATATCTGCAGCCATGTACACCAGAGCAAGATGACATCTGCTAATGCCTGAAGGAAAAATGAGGAGGGTTTGGCTGTACAGATAGTTTAAAAAGTTTGGGGTTTTCAAATAAATGAGCTAAAGGAACATGCATGACTGAAACAGTCTCTGCATATATGGAACAAAAAACACTCAGGTCACAGACTTTTGTGACAGGATCTTCTGTGCTAAATCTAACTTTAAAGAACACATTTTACGTTTGCATGCAGACAGCTGTAATGCCAGTCAGTCATCATTCAATTACCAACAACAGGCAAGGAGTTCTGAGTAAGGCAAAGTAAGAGAAAACACCCACAAGACCCTGCATTCAAGTGTGGCCCTCACAGCTCACTGTTGCGAACAATACTACGATTCTTAGACTTTTCTGGCAGCTTTTTGTTTATGTTCCATTTTCTATATGGAAATTAAAACAAAAATCCATTGGCAACAATGAGCAGAAAAATACCGTTCTGAGACATAATGAGCCTCAACAGAACAACCCAATCCATGTCTGTTCCTGCATCTGAAAGACCAGATTTTCCTGGGGCAGATCATGGTAACCTTTGCTCACTGGCGTTGCCTATATTTGGGTGCACGAAGTGCGTTCACTCAGAACTTGTCGGGGCTTGTAGACTTCCAGAAGAGTTCTTTGGACTCCGTCCCTGGGCTGGCTGAAAACTCAGATGAAGGCTTGGAAGCAAAGAAAGGAGAGCAGTCAGGAGATCAGACTTGCAGCAGCAGTCTCTCCAGAGACACAGACCCCTTCTTTCACCTTCCCTCCTCGCATAAAACGTGCAGTTAATTGTGCTGGGATTCGTAGCTTATTCCTTGAAACAGAAAAAGTTTCGGATGCTTAATGGCTTCTTACAGTTGTGCCTTCTGTGCTTGGGTTGAAGTGTACTGCGGTTGTTCTTGGACATCCTCGCACTTCTCTCTGTATTCTTGTTTGAAAAAGGACATGCGGCCTTGTATAACCACCTCCTGGAAGCGATTAATATTAGTTTCTAGAAAGGAAACTCAGTATTATATATACGCTGGCCCAAGTGACTGAAACAGAAACACCTCTGAAGGTGGGGGCCTCAGTAACACAATCTCATTGGCAACAGGAGGGCAGCAAAACGAGGTCTGTCCTCATTCACCTCAAGACAAACTATTTCTGGCACAGGCTGTATTTCTTTTAACAAACATTTTCCAAAATTATCTTTGCATGACAATCAGCACAGAGAGATGAAACAACTGAGGAGGGGCAGAAAAGCCTAAATCCCTCAGTGATATGCACTTCAAACTCGAGAAACTAGAGCAGCTGTTCCATCTCTACAAATCCAGAAGGCTCCTACCACAAGAAATAAGAACCTAACTTGTTAAAGCAATTTTTATTTAAGTATTTGGAGGGAAACTTTCATATCATGAGTAAAAATACTAGAGTTGAATGTCGTTAAAAAAAAAAAGTCAAGACGATGGGCTCTCTGTGCAAACACAGCAGTTTCTGATGGAAAGGGGAAGCAAGGGTTCTCATAACATACTCCCTTTCAAATAAAAAAAAAATGCTAGTTAACTGCAGTACATGTCATCATTTTCTATACAGTCAAGAGGATGAAAAACAACAAAAAAAAGCAATTTAAGAGAACGCAACCTACAATGGAATAAATTCATTCGCAGCAGAGACAGAATAAGAATGCTTTTATGAAAATTACAAAGAAACATGACACAACAAAAATAGGGTGTGGGGAATTTTCCACTAAGATTAAAAATGAAAAACAAAAAAAAAATTCACTTTTTGAACATCATTATTATTCAAACACATATGAAGCTTCAACCTATTTTTTTTCTTATACGTGGGAAACACTGTTAAAGTGAATCTTCAAGAGTGAGAAGGCACCATCAACTGTTGGCTGATACCTTTAATGCACACTCGAAAAAGAAGAAATGATCCGGCATGATGCAAAAAATCATTAACTGTTATATATATTCATATATCTTTTCATTAAAAAAAAAAAAGCGGCAACAAGTCATTACTTCAGTGCCAAAATGTACTTTTGCCTGGCTGACGCACTCACTCATTAAGATAATTTCTCACTTAGACCTGTATGGCAATTTTATACAGTGGTGAAAGTGGGTGATTTTGTGTTGTTGTATTTCATATTAGATTGGTAAATCAAGCATTTGCTAGGTTCTGAGAAGCCAATCCTAGGAAGTATTCCTAAACTCTATGCAAGTGGACTAATTAAATGCACTGTCTAGAGCGGAATACTCCTCTGTCCGGCGTGGCGATTCCACTGGATTCAGTTTGATATGTAATGTCTTGTAGCAGATGTTATAACAAAAATAACTTTTGCTTGTTGATTTACCTCACTGAGGCCATTAATGCTGTTCCTATAGTTGGTTTTCTGGAGTTGGATGACACTTCGCTGCTGTCCAAAATGAGTTTGAACCTTAACCCTCCAGAGTTTGTTCACTTTGCTGCTTATATTATTGCACTAGCTACTAAAGTCTTATATCTTCCTATATAAATCTAATTGTTCAGAGTGCAGATTCTATATTTAGATAATGAACTGTATGAAATAAATAAAATAAGGGGATTTTCTGGTCAGAGTTGCTGATATGTTGAACACCTTAATTATTTCTAAAGTAAACAGTTTTGGTGTATATTCTTAAAAACCTATGGTCATTCAGCATAAAAGCCTTGACGTAATACTTTAAGAATGGATTTGTTTTCCTTCTCAAAAATGCATCAAAGAATTGTTTTAAATACAGAATCTGTGAGGCTTCCTACAAATTCATCTAAATCGTAATACAAACACAGTTTGTAATTCAGATAATATAGAAAGTTCTCTAGTGTCCATTGAAGTAAGGTCCCCAAAATGCAGTCTCTTTTGTTTTTGAATGGGAAAACATTGCAAAATATTAAGCGGTTCCACTGGCTGAATAGGAGAACTGAGGAAAATGAGGTCTTCTCTCGTTATCTACACAATCCATGCTGTCATCTGAAAAAAAGAAAAAGACAGTATTCAACATTTGTTACCTTTTCGATTTTAAGTGAGTGATAAGATAATGCACAGTAATTGCAGATGATTTCATTGTTGCTTTTTTCTTCCACAACTTCAAAGGACAAAGAAACAGGAGTCTTAAATCTCAGCCCATTAAATTGCATCCAAAGTTCTAGAAATTGCTATTTCAGAGCATCAAACATGCCTGGGTACTGAAAATAAAATATATTTTGACTGAATGCAGACATCAGTCTGTACTCAACTGTCTGCTCGTGTGTACACAGTGGGTATGGACACGGGCGAAACTCATGGGCAGAACCGATTTGCAGTCGGAACGTGCAGATGTGGAAAAGGCAACAGCACAAATAATTTCACTCTATTCCAATACAGGTCTTTCATTTCCCAAACCGGAAAGTTATGTGAAAATTTTCACATCGATTTGTCAACTTCTTGGTCAAATACATATATGGAAAACGAGCAAGGTTAAACTGATGCCTTTTCACATGATCTAAAGAGACCAGGTAACACTACAGCAAATTCCTTCCGGCAGCCTGGAGAACACAGTCGGAAATATTTCGGAAAACTTTACCTTGGTCTGGAGGAGTGATTGTTATCATCTGTGCTGTGAATTCTTCATCAAAGTATCTCGTATCTGTTTCAGATGTAACTTGTGGCTTAAACAGAGGTACAAGCTACGAAAAGAAAAAAACAGAAAACTGTCAATTCACAAGTTCTTGCAGTAGCGTTTGAAACAGGCAGAATTGGTAATAGCTACAGTGCCTTTTCCTGTATTCCTAAAATAAACTTTATAAAACGACAGTTCGTAAAGAAGGAACCATATACAGTAAAAAGCATTTATTTAGGTGTGCACCTCCTTTTTATGGGGCATTTAAGGCATTCTGTCTCTAGGATTTAACTGCACCCTACCATTTCTTCAAGTAACAACTTACATGCTTAAAAGTATTTTAAAATAATGTTATATACTGGTTCCTCACCTGATTATATGTAAATTGTCAACTGTGGCTAGTCAGATTTATGCTTGAGGAGGATGAAAATGAATAAGAATTATGCTCTGAGATACCAAACTGATCAGCCAGACTTGGGTGTCACCACAAGGGCTGTAAGGTTCAAAAAAATTTTCAGCCACAGAGCTCCTGTGCAGCCGTCTGTGACTGCGCTGAGTAGGTCCGACCAACCCGGGAGAGCTTAGGACAAGGCAACAGCAACACTAAGCTTTTACACTCACGGTCCTCAAAAGCACTTTGCTACCAACTCTGAACTTTGAAAACGTGGAGTGCTTACAGAAACACGAGCACGCTCAGCAGCGAGTGTCCTCGTCGTGTTACACCATGAGTCGCACTATTTGGGTTTTATTCTCGACACTCGCTTGGGCAGAAGGGCTGGAAATCATCCCCGCGTAGGGAGGCAAGCTCTGGTGAGAGGAGCTCCAGATGGAGCGGAGCTGCTTGACTGGGGCTGGAGGAGGAGCGTGCCAGGGACGCAGGGCGACGGAGCCGGTTGCATGCAGATGCCCAGAATTGGAACACATACAATTTTGGAGGGCAACAGAGCTGGGATTCAGACGCCGTTCACCTCCCCAGTGCACGATGCGGGAGAAAACAGAACGTAAACACAGCTCTTAGCCCTCCCACAGAGGACGTGTACCAGCTCTCAGGGCTGGGCATCAGCTCGCCCACTGCTGGGGTTAAGTGTGGCCAGCTTTTAATAGCACGGAGCCACACCGGGCAACTATTTAGGAGCGTGACTGAGGAAGTGTACAGCTCCTCATCTGAAACTGCAGGGAAAGGTTTGTCAAGGCAAATGGTAAATTGCTCCAGGTGGAATTAAGCAGCGACCCTGAGGCTTGCAGTGCTGCTCTAACAGAAGTAAAAATGAGAGAGACAGAAATCGCTACCTCGAAAACATCAGCAAGTCTTGAATGTAAAAAACTCCTCTTCCTCAGCCTCATGTGAGGAATCATATGCTGGGCAAGCTGGTAAATAAGGCACTAGCTGCAGGCTGCCCGTCACCAGGATCATCTTTCTGGTCTGTTCTGAGAGCACCTAACACTGTTGTCCTGTCTTACAAACAACCCAGTGAAGCTCCTTCATTTTCAATGTAAAGACTTTAGGAAATGGAATCTACACATATGGTAGTATTTCCAAATACAAAGAAACATTTACTGTTTAAATTCAATTATTTAAAAATTAAGGGACATAACATTCTGTTTATTATAAGCAAGCACAATTAGAGCATACACTCATCTTTTTCTTTTTTAAAAAAAAATTACTAATGATCCTCTGTGCCAAAGGATGGCTTAAAGGAGCCTGGCAAATGTTCCTGTCAAAAAAAGTTAAGTCCTTAGAAGTGGTCTTTATGCCCTGAATTTAAAAAGGAAAAGAAAATGGGATATCCCAAAGTCAGGAGTCACTGTGAGCCTTATAGTCCCCCTGAAGATACTGAAGAGGGAATGCTTCACAGCAGAACGTTAGTAGCACCATTCTCCATCAAGTCGCGTCAACATGTCACACTTAAAAACCTTGGCGAGGACGAGCATTCTTTCTTTCACTTTTTAACTCTCTTCTCTTTCTCCTTATAGCACTTTTCTGCCCACTCCTTAAAGCAAACCTTGGCTTGTTTTTTGACAAGCTGTGCGCGCGCGCGTGTGAAGTTCTCTCTGTCCTTTTAAGCTAACGGTGGGTTTGGCACTCGCAGCCGCTCCAGCTCGCTGCGCCGAGTGATTTAGGACTTGAGCGCCACCACAGACACCTGAACTGAGCACATCAGAACGACTCAGAGCAGAAATCCTAAGTCAGAAGACACGTGTAACGGGCTAGCGCTGCCTGTATCGTTTTCCCTTTTATTTTAGTATCTGTTAAAAGCAATTTGAGATAGATTAAGATGCGCCCACAAGACAATTTTTTCTCCCCAGCTGTCAAAGTCAGAACGTTAAGCTGGAGACAGAGGGGAAGCCGTACAAAGCTCTAACTCTGGCTTTACCAAGCAAATATGTTGCTTTACAGAAAAGCTGTCACTGTGATAGCTCTGCAGCTCAACCAGCAGAGAGGCGCCACCTGTAGCCTCCCACTGCTGCAGACCAGCCTGACACCCTCCGGCTTACTTGGCTTAAAGAGGCAAAAAAGACCAGAAAAATACACATGATTAAGACCTCATTGCACATGTTCCCCTTGGTGGGCAAAATACTGCAAATCAAATCACACCTTTCTTTGCACCACAGACTCTCCAGGAGAGTCTAATAAATATTTTAAAATTCTTGGGACAACCCCAGTTATTCAAAACTCTTTATAATTCAAAGCAAAGCTATGTTTCAAAAAAACCTTAATTATAAAGTGAGTGTTCTCAATTACCTCAAGCCTATACTCATAAACATATTCACCATTATCTGGAGATAGTGGGTAACCAAGCTCAGCACTTAAACACCTCTAGGCAGCTGACAAAATTCAGCTTTTATCTGTGAGACTACATTTCAGGTAAATGCTGCAAGATCCTCTTTGGGCCATCCAGACATCAGCAGCAATTACTCACAGACTTTTTGAAATCCCTTCATTTGCACAGAGTGGCTATTTCAGATGCATGTGCTAACAGGACAGGAACAAAACCAGAATTTAGACTCCTTGGATATGCCAAGGTCAGAAATGGTCTCAACTTGCACAAAATATGTAACATTTGCAATTTCCTGGTAGTTTCCATGACAATTGGAGTCAGAACTACTAAGGGACAACTTACGAAGGCTTTCTCAATCCTATGGATAAATAAATTGCCTCCAGCTTGTGTGATTTCTCCATTCAGGGAACTAAGACTACCACCAAATAACAAATAACTTCACTGAAGACATTTGAGCCCCATTATCAACTTTTTACTTCAAAATGCAAAGAAACCAGCAAATCCACAAATATTCAGCTTGTCAGCTGGGTGAAAATGGGGATAATCTCCTACCTAGAACAGTAATTTCAGGGTTTTTTTCTACATTATACTGAATAACTCCACACAACTCCCTCTTGCCCTCATGACCACATACATCTCCCTCTCAAGGGATGCTTCAAAAGGACTAAGGTCTAAATTCCGTCTACACTTTCAAGGTACAAAAAACTTATTTTGCGATTTCTCAGATCCCTTTAGCCACACAAATCCATGAGGAAGTGAAGAAGAGAAGGAAGCAAAGCTCTCTTTGTAACTGCATGCAGGCACTGGACAATCCTCCCTCTACGGTGTGGAAACCAATGGTGTTAGGCTGTCATTTTTAAAAATAAAAACACTGTTATGAGTTTTACCAAAAGAATCCAAAGGATTCAAACTCTGCGTCTCAAGGAAAACCAATAAGAAACACCACGAAGTGCAGACACTTCACATCAGTCCTGTCATAAAAAAAATAAATAAAATATTTTGTGTAAAAGGCAACATTTCTCTGCACTTGCCTATTCAGTCTAATTTCATCATTCAAGACAGGAAAAATGTAAAGGGAACAAACAGCCCACCTTCCACCAGTGCTCCTAGGAAGTTTTCAGTCAGATGCTCAGGAATCAACAATGGGCTCAAAAGGGATACATCAGTTGAGAGCAAGGAACAGCAACAAGAATTCACAAGAAAAGCCATTTTAAAAGCTGATACTATCTAAATTCAGAAGCAATTGTGGTTACATCCTGCTTATTCAGTCACAGAAACACGTATCTCCTTGACGTACTCCCCTCATTGCGAAAAAAAGCGTTGGTTCAGAAGTACAGGATTTTATGAAACATGAAGCAATTTAGCCTTGTTAAGAACAAGTGCAAACCTCTTCTATGGAGGCTGCGTGTACCTTACAGAGGACAACAACATTCGAAACGTTCAGCATATCCACAGCTACGATTCACCTTGGGAGAACAATTGTGTAAGTACCTTTTTCTCGTATACGTCTTGCCAAACAATGCCGGCAAAGAATTTGTGCTGCATAATCTCCTTGGCATCATCAGGACCGCCACCTAACCTGTTTGGGGCAAAATCAGGAATTAAATGTTTGAGTACAGTTATTTTCCTCATATGATTTTTATTAAACAGTACTGAAGACATTCTAAGTTTATATAATACGTTTGGGAGCAGTGCCGGCATTTGCTTGGTTTTTGTGCAAGGACTGCGAGATAGGCCAATTCAGGCTTCAACACAGCTCCACTAAAAGATCTGAAACCATGCTAACAGAGAGATTTAGAATAAAGCTTTCTCTTAAACAAACAAAGAAAAAACACAATTCAAAAGATCACCCTTCAGGAAAGATGCTGTCCTAGGGACCACAGCGAATTCGGCAAGTAAAAGGTCTGAGCTATGTACACTTTGCTTTTTCTAAATTACCAAGTGACTACCCCTTACAATTTCCTAGAGCACAGTGATGCCAGCAGTAAAACTGAGTTTTATTTTGAAGTGTAAGAGAGGCAAGGATTTTTAAGACAAACTGATTTATGCAACCTAATTTAAATTTCCATTAAAGAAAACAGTTGATAACTGCAGTGCTAATACCACACTGTATGCAAATCTTCCCTCCTCCTTGGCTTCGCAGAATCACAAAGGATGTTTTATTGACTTAAGGTATATCAAGATAAAGCACTTTCATTTCAAAATAAAACTGTCCACACAGCTTACAGATGCAATCAGTTTAGTTGCAGTCTTGAGCTAACAGATGCTTGAATTTTGCTGTGGAGGTTAAAATGTTCTCTAAAAGACCAAACCACATCTGCAAGCGAAGGCATGTGCTGAGAACACAACACGCAGGGCGAGTAATCGGCAGGAGGCTCCCTTCCAGGTAACAAGGTTAAGAAGACACTCAAGGTTTTGAGTACGAGAGGTGACACCATATTCAACCAGGCTGATGCTGAGTACCTGCCTGTTCTCTGATCCTTGGTGCTACTGGCAAACTGAGACGATATCCCTGTTTTAAGAGCTGGGAACGATGGCTGTACGTGACCATGGCTAGAGCTACACCGCTACAGGAAAAAAGGGCCAAGAGCCCTTCTTCAACCCTGAAGCCAAGCCGGGCGGTCAGGTCTCATCTGTGCTGCACAGCAGCTGGCCCCGAATCTCCTCCAGGCCACATGCAGTAAGCCCGCAGCCCTAATGTGTGATGGTTTGGGGACAAAGGGGAGGGGTTTGGTTCAAAGCACCAGAAATGATGCGAAGGCTGTGCCAGCTGAAGTGGTATTTTCAGTTTGCGACTGCACTGCACGCTCTGGGATGCAGCGTGAAGGCACGATGCCATGGGGAACAGCAACAGACCATCAGTTACTGCGGAGCAGTCAAATATGACAACACCTTGTCCGTACTGCTCACCGGGAATGGATCCCGGGACCTGCAACCCTCTCAGCCCCGCCTGAGCGCTGTCTTCAGAGCAGGCAGCAGAGGTGCCTGCCAGTTCAGAGTCCACATTTGCTTCCTGGCCCTCCTCCTGCAGCGGCACAGCAACCTAGGGGGTTTGGCTCCTTCATGTTCCTGCAGGGAATGAACGGGCAGTGGAACAGGGAATGTGTCCCCAGTCTTCCAGCAGCAAACCGCTGGGTGACGCTTCCCTTCGCCAGGTAAGCGCTAAGACCAAGCCGAAGTTCACCCTAGAGCCCCACAGGCCAAACCAAGCCGGGCAACAGCTCTCCCATCTGCCTGGCAACATGTGATACAGCTGCACAGTAGCCTGGAACCGAGACAACTCCAGGGCAGCCTGGGAACAGAGACAAACTCTTTGAGTAATCATCTCTCGGCTGGTTCCTCACAGGTGTAGAGGTTTTGCCAAGTCTCTACCAGGCTCCTTGCTGCTTCCCCAGCGATACAGGGTGAAGAAAAGGGCAGAGATGCCAACAGACTGCACCTCTGCACACACGTTCAGGGGTGACTGTGAGCTGAGAAGACCCTGAACGTGTTTCGCAGAAGCATGCAGGAAGGCTGGCTGGCTGGAGCCACGTACGAGTACTTTGCGAATACATTATCTAATACGACCTTTGTTGCACGAAAGGCAAACACATACTCAGGGAAATGCCAAGAAAAAGCCCAGATGTTTTACTTACCTTCTAAAAATCTATACTATTAAACAAATCCATTCAAGGCGAATGGGCAAACAATAGAAACCTCTTATTTTGGATATGGACTTAATCCAAAATACAGTCTTGTTTGTTAGAATTATTATGAAAGGATCCTCTCAAACTGAATGAAATTAAATCGGCACCTAACACAAAAATCATGGTTAAGCATCACCGGAAACTGAAAGAACAGTAGATTTGCCCTTCGTAAGGACACGCAGCAACTGAGGAAAAATACAGCAGGA